GGGGATGAGAGCGATGACGAATTCGGTCCACCCTCGCTCAGCCGCCTCTGCGGCTAGGGCGTCAGCACACTCAATGCCGAAAGCCTGGGAAACACCCTGGCGCGAGAGGGCGACGACACTCCCCTGATGAGAAGGTGCCCAAACAAGATCGATCGTGCCACTGGAGCCTCTGGTGGAGCTCCCTACGGGGCCACGAAACGCGGTCCGGGGCGGGGGGACCGCATGCGAGTGCAGCCACTGGGGCCTTCGGTGGGGCATCCGATAGGGACACAAAGCGCTGTCCTGGGTGGGGGAGCTGCATGCGGGTGCAGCCGCTGGGGCCTTCGGCGGAGTAACACGAGCGGTCAGCAGGGGGGGGGGCAGGAGGAGGAGGATCAGGATGAGGAGAAGCTAGCTGGGGTGGTGAGGACTGAGGAGGAGCATGGGGAGCACGATGAGATCCATGGGAACCCTATTCCCGATGAATTGGAATAGCAGGCAGGAAAATCTGAACTGTCTTACGACTGCGCGGCTTTCCCAGCAAGATATTTTGAGAGGGGAGCGGGGCCCCAACACGTCGGCGTATACTATGGAACTCTCGTTGTGAGGCAAATTGAGAAACATTGAAACGGATTGAGAGAAAGTGAGATCGTTTGAGAGAAACTGAAATATAATTGTCCGTTCAAACCGTGGATTAAGAGAATTTGGGACGAGAAAGGCGGTCAAGTTGAGGACAAGTGAGACCGTTTGCGGTGTCCAATGGAAGTTTTCGGAAGGGCTTGATGGCAATGCGATTTGGGAGCATGAGGAAAGCAGCAGAAGGATGGGTGGCAGGAGAAGCAGCCGGCGAGGACCCGATGGCAACTGGAGCCAAAACATATTTCCCAAACGAGGGCAAACGGTGAAGGATGCACATGCCACAGGGCCGTGTGCTCGTTAGGGCGCGCTAGAATGCCAAGGGCTGTCTGGCAGGGTTTCTGCAAGTCTTCTCAGGGGCTGCCGCCGCCCCTCTCGCCGCAGAGCGCCGCATGCATCGGGCCCCGCTTCCCCAGTGAAGAACAACAAATGTTCACTCCCGCAACAAGCATCCTCCGTGGAAGTACATCAGGTCCACGCTCTCGCGGCAACGATTCCTCGAAAATTTGCCTGGAGATGGCCCTCACCATATGCAGTTGTGGGTTCCGCAGTTATGAATATTTCATCTTTGATGGAGCTCCACACGGGTCCACGAAGCGCTGTCCTGGGTGGGGGAACCGCATGCGAGTGCAGCCACCAGGGCCTTCGGTGGAGCTCCCGATCGAGCCGAGAAACGCGGCCCTGGGCAGGGGAACCGCATACGAATGCAACCATTGGGGCCTTGGGTGGAGCTCCCTACGCGGCCACGAGACGCTGTCCTGGGTGGGGGGGACCGCATCCGAGTACAGCCACCAGGGCCTTCGATGGAATCCCCGTTTGAGCCGAAAACTTGGTCCTGGTTGGGGGGCGCATGCGAGTGCAGCCACTTGGCCTTCGATGGAGTTTCAGATTGAGCCGAGAAACGCGATCCTGGGCGGAGGGAACCGCATGCGAGTGCAGCCACTGGGGCCTCGTCGGAGCTCCCGACGGGGCCACGAAGCGTTGTCGTGGGCGGAGGGAGCCGCATGCATGTCCGGCCACATGGGCCCTCGGCGGAACTCCCGATGAGGCCACGAAGCGCTGGCGTGAGTGCTGGAACCGCATGCGAGTGCAGAAGCGCTGTCCTGGGTCGGAGGTCCGCATGCTAGTGCAGCCACCGGGGCCTTCGGTGGAGCCCATATATGGGGCCACGTACCGCTGTCGTGGGTGGTGGAAGCGCATGCGAATGCAGCCACCAGGGCCTTCGGTGGGGCTCCACATGGGGCCACGAAGTGCGGTCGTGGGTGGAGACGCGCGTGCGAATGCAGCCACCGGGGCCTTCGGTGAAGCTCTGGACGGGGCCACGAAATGCGATCGTGGGCGGAAGGGGTCGCATGAGAGTGCAGCCGCTCGGGCTCTAGGTGGAGTTCCTTTTCGGGCTACGAAACGCCAGCCTGAGAGGGGGAACCCCATGCTACTGCAGCCGTTGGGGCTCTCGGTAGCAACCCCTGTGGCGCCACGAAACGCAGTCCTAGGCGGGGGAGCCGCATGCGAGTGCAGCCACTGGGGCCTTCGGCGGAGCTCCTTACAGAGCCACGAAACGTTGTCCTGTGTGCGGGAGACGCATGGTGGAAAAGGGAGGAGGGAGAAGGGGGCGAGGAGATGAGGAGGAAGGAACGCGGGCCACTCTCTTCGAAACGAAGACCTCACAAGATGGTTGAGAGAGGCGACGCTGGCGAAGAACAAATTCGGGGATGGCCCCCAGAACCGCTTCCAAACTCGGGCATTCCAAAACCATCTGCCCCTTGACCCAGAGCAAGGAAGAGATTGATCCCGCCAGTCTCCTTCCAAAGCGCACAATCGCAATGGCGTGTCCCGACGTAGAAAGAGAAACGTCGATAAACATGCGCCCAGGCCCCAACCGCTT